AATTTTGATCAAGATCAAAAACTTAACAGAAGAAATGACAGATGGCTTTGTTCAGATCCTTCTGATGTGCCAAGAGTAATGTGCACAAAATGTCCTTCAAGTGTTATAGTATTGGATGTTGTTAGCAATAAAGGACATATTATGACACCATAATTTTTCCACAAGGTCTTAGAGTAAATGCTGCTGTTTACATTGAGGTTCTAGAAACAGTTGTCCAACTCTGGATCAACAACATATGCAACGTCAGGCCTTACATATTCCAGCAAGACTCGGCTCAATACCATAAGGCTCTACGAAAACAAGAATGGATGGCTGACGATTTGTACAACCACAACATACACAACATTTGGCCTCCTAATTCTCCAGATCTCAATCCGCTCGACTATTATGTGTGGATCGTTGTTGAGAAGGAGATTAATGAACAGCCTCATAACACGGAGGACTCTCTTAAAGCTGCAATATTTCGAGTAACGTGTGACATAAATAAGGACCAATTAATCAGAGCTGGCAGCTGATTTCGACCTTGTGTAGGGGCAGTTATTGATGCTAGTGGTGGTTTTATTGAATAAAATTAAATAATAGCTAAATTTCATGTTTACTTGTTTGTAATCAAATATAATTATATTCATTTGTTCAGCAAGATTTTTACTAATCCATAAAATCTGTCCTCAAATACCAGCCACACCCTGTACATATATATGATTAATCCCTTCATACCCAGTAAAGTGATAATGCTACTGGAACGCAGAATGTGAAAGAATGAAAAAGCTTTAGTGAGGAAAGCACAATAAAGAATCAAGTTTCATGAATACAGACGATGGCGACCGGCGTTGCATTTAAATTTTTGAAGCTTTTAGGTATCAGGGAATCAAGAAACTGAGTTCCTCGCACAAGAAAATAAACTATTTAAATAGAACTGACTGTAGCCAATTTAGCTAGTTCAACCATAAAACGGTGAGACCAAGTTACTTATCTTGTAGCACGCTTAAATTCATGTAGTCGAGACACTAAGTAGAGAAGAGCTCATCAGAACAATTTCTATAAAAATATTTGTAGAAAAGATGAAAGGAAAAGTGGTCACACCGAGATATAAAGTAGAAAGAGCAGACCAGATATGGTAGCAGTAGTAAGTGTACGGATGGATTTTAAATTTATAAATGTGCAAGAATGATTCTGACGAGAAGAATTTGGTAAGACACCGTGAACCCTTTTTTCTAGCAGTTCAATATAATTATTATAAAATTTAATTTTTTGAGTAAATTCAGTTCTTCTTTCTAAAGTTATTACCAATTTTATCATAACAAATATAATCAAATTTAATATGTTAAAGCTACACAATTATTAAAAAAAACTCCTTAAGAATGTTGTTTAATTCTTAGGGATTCTTTCAAAATTTCTGAAATTCCAACATTTTGAAATATTCATCCAGTTACTTCCCTTATTTGCATAATGAGATAGCTATATTATGAAGACAAAATTAATGTGAAATGTATGCTTAATTGATTCGTTTTCTGAGGCTTATTTTTAGATTGTAAGAATTTTTTGAGATAATAATGATTTAGTGATTCACGTCTTACTATTTAACCCATAGCTGGGTGGAGAAAATGTGAATTTATACCTTTCCGAGCGTATTTGCACGTAAGTGAATATAATGAACCCGACTGGAATTGGAACTCGTCCCTCCCATTACCATTTCCGAGCAATTATCCATGATACTATCCTCACACTCAAGCCTAACTCATCTGGTATTCCAAATCGGTCACTTCTTTAGGTACTGACAAGATTCGAAATTGCTTAACTTCGGTGACCGTACAGGACCCGTTGTTTCCACATGATATAGCCATAAGAAACCCGTTGAAGAAGTTGCTCAACAATGATTTTATGAGGTTATTTACATTATTCGGACTATTGTCCTCATCTTTGTCGCCATATTTATTACAACGTTTCGGCTGTTGTACGCTCCGGCCTTCTTCAGGTGGATGGAGCGTACAACGGCCGAAACGTTGTAATAAATATGGTGACAAAGATGAGCACAATAGTTCGAATAATGTAAATAATGTACTTAATGCCTCATCTCAGAAATATAGACAGATTCTATGAGGTGTTCTATTTCTTTATATAAAACATTCAGCAAGCCATTCAGAAAACAATTCCAAATTCTTCATCAGGAGTGCACAGAAGATGACCAGGATACTCAAAGAACTACTTCGCAGTTACATGATACTTGTCTGTTACTTTTACCAATTCTAGCATTATTGTATCATTTACAGACATTAAAATAGCTAACTTTTTCATTTTTTTCAATTTTCAACGTGGAGACAAATTTCAAAATGTCATATTCAGGTCATTACATATACGTAGTAGCAGTGCGTCGTTATTCAGAAATAAGCCTTTAGATTCCAATAAATTTTTTTGTCATTTTACCCCAAGCAATCAGAGATACCAAGACGCAAATTGGTGTAGAGTTTCTTAAATAATGAGAGAAAGAAAAAACGTTAAGGAGAGAGAAGAATAAAAGAAAGAATTAAGATAGATTATAGCGATTAGCATTGCCTTTAAATTTTGGGGGAGCAAAGTGACTGGAAAGAAAGAAAGCCCGGAGGAGAGTTCAACAAGCGGGAAGTACGAGAAAATAAACTGTTAGCATAGAACTTATGGTTATATTTAACCGTTTCTACTCAAAAGTTATGAGACCTAGGTGCTAATTTAGTACTAGACGAATGGTAGACTTCTAAATGCGTAAGATAGATTCTGGCGAGAAAAATTATCTAGTATAAAAGAGTGAACCAAATTTCCTAGCAGCAGAGCAAGCAAATGATTCAATATAATTATTTCACTTCATGTAGGCGGACAACACTATCCCGGAAAGTCGTAATGTGTCATTCTTCTGAATATTAACATCAGCGATGTTGATGGGAAGCAAAAATGATCTTTAATACCATTAAAATAGTGTATTTTCAAGTTGGAGGTGTTAAAATTAACAAGACATTTCTTGCCCCATTTAACAACAGTGTAAGTCATTTATTTTTTTTTTAGATCAGCTGCCAAATTGACCTTATCGGAGTATTTATTTTATCTATCGATGGTAAATAAAGTGGCTAATGACGTGAGACATAATGTACATTAGCATTTCCAAGAACAGAGGATTCTGTAAATAGCCAGTTAACTAAACGAGAGAATATCCTAGCGAGATAAGCTTGGTAATTATTTCTCTATGCCAAGCGTTCTTCCATAACTAAATATTGTGTGAATTCCGACGAGGGAACTGTCTGAAGTCAGCCGCTACACTAGCAATTGAGAAATAAGATAGATCCCCATTGGGACTATCTTAAAACAACCGTAATCAGTTTGTTGATCAGTTGTCTAGGACGTTACTGATAGAATTGTACGCACGCACATACTCATGTAAGCGAAAATAAAAATACGCCCACGATGAGAGTTGGATGTTTGACCATGTTCATTGGATGAAGAATGGTTGCATAACAAAGGATGTTATATACTGAGTGCTGAGTCACATGACAACACCTAGTAGGCCATTTTGCTTTATGTCTGTCTGAAAGCGCGATTGAAATTCATAGTCTGATTAAGATTAAAGCAACTGGCGATAAGCTTTTCGAGAAATCAGGATAGGTGAGGAGAAGCGTCACCATCAGGTGTAGGTTAGCAGACGAAGAGACAGTTAAATCAAGTTCATGCTCCATACTCCAGTTTATATATTCTTTAACTTCGAATGAGATTGTTAATGAAGAATATGATTGTTGAGTCCTAGATGTTGCTCTCGGCCAGACTGATTCTAACCAAACAGATCGTTACCATTATCTTACGATATAGACTGGTGCCAACACCAGAGATGTTCGTATATATGTATGGAAGAATATGATATATATATATATTTCTATTGATTATAACAATGTTGGATAATTGAATGGCAACATGGAAACACTTTTTTAAAATGAGTTTCTTCTTTTTAAATGTTTGTAGTCTTTTTTAAGGACGAAACGCTTTACATAATTGTTTTCCATTTTGTCATTCGATTGCCAAACCTATCTTTTACCTAAATAAATTAACGGAATATTCTGTCTGTCCGTCCGTGTTTTTGTAACGCTTCTAACTGGGACCAGACTTGCTCTATATAGGCATATTATACTTTTCAGGAATCTGGATGATTCCTGGATTAAAAATCTGCTGTTTATCTGATGCTTGAAGTGCGATTTGTGTCCGGACGAGGAGGGAACAGTTAAAAATTCAAATTTTAAAATAACTGAAAAAAATAATGATTTTAAAAGTTTCAAATTCACGTTGAATTTAAAGGAACACCAAAAATTGAATTCAAACATTTTGTTTGAAATTCAGTTAAAAATATCTCCAAAATTTGTGAATTGAGGAAATCAATTTTATTTCTTCAAAATAGCAAGATATCGGAGTTAATAGGAGCGGTTTTTTGACTTGAAGTTTTGAAGTTCCGCAGCGTTTGTGATTTGAAGAACTAAGTTTTCGGCCTGAATTGGAATTTCGGTCCAAATCGGTCTTTTGGCCGGAACTGAGGGTTTGAAGTGCTATGGAGTGAAGTAAGGAATTCAAGGTTATTTCTTCATAATTATCATTGTTTTTTTGTAAGCTGGATCAGAGATCCCTTTAGTTTTGGGTCGGATCCCACCGCAGCTAGCTTAAAAGTACTCATGGTGAGCAGCTTTTAAACTAATATGTCATATATTAATGTATTTGCCAGGTGAGTGTGGAATGGAATTGGTTGACTATAACATCATATGAAAGGTCACAAAAGTATTACTCTAACACCTACGGCAAAAATCGTCCATCGTTGCCAAAACTGCACATGAGAATAATTCCCTGACAGTAGTAAAACATGAAATTGAGTTGCAGCAATCCTATATATGTAAGAAAGAATGAAAGAATCAGTCAGTAAAAATGAAAAAAAAAACGTGAGAAAAAAAAAAAAAAAAAACGAAATGAATTTGGAATAGAAAATTTCGGTATCTCACTTTTGAATTGTATCATTGAGAATATTGTCCAAGTATTGGCCCCAAGCTTTGCTTCCGGCTGCTGCAGCTATCATGTACTCCAGAAGAATGTTCCATCCGACGACGAATCCACACAATTCGCCTACCGTGACGTAACTGTAGAAATAAGCAGCTCCAGACCTTGGAAGACGCGCAGAGAATTCGCTGTAGCAGAGACCTATGAAAAGAAAATCATGTAAGACTTATTATATATTTACGATTCTTTTTGCAATTACGTTAATTTTATTAACATGTCTAACCCCGTAAGTTTCGCATCTCAGTTCTCTGACTGAAATATCGACCGAAACAAATATTACAGTTTAATCTCATTAGTATTATTTTCTATTTGCGTACGGTGATAATTAAAATTTCAGAACAATCACTGTGAACTGTGTTTACCTTACTTTATACGTACGGTAATTTATGCCAATTCGTCCGAATTATCTCTAACTAGAAATGGAGAAGAAACATAATTAAACATGCAAGGATTATACGCACAATTAATAGGACATTTTTCATATTAAAATTATGCATGCTGAAATTAGCTCGTATAACTGAGAAGAAGGGTTGATGAAAACTTTAATCTGATCTACATGAGAATGACAGAGATCTATGAAATATGCATGTTATCTCATATATTCAAACTCTGTCAACATAGTTGATATAACTTTTCTCCAATTACTTTAAACCTTTCAATGGTAATTCTGTTTGGTCATTGAAATAATGTTATATTACTCCTATCACATCTCCCATCTTACCGCTCACAATAATGTTAAGATTTGTAAACAGGATTTAGATGGGTGAAGATCTAATGAAAGGAAAAAGTAAACCCTTTGCACTCGCTCTCAAAATACTTCATAATATCCATCGTCTTGGCAGCGCTATGAATAGATGCACTCTCCTATAAAAAGAGGACAACTTTCTACGACCACATTGCCGTTTTTCTTTCAACAATGATTTTAATTGGAGCGCCAATTTCGACTATTATTCATCTTGAATCATCTAAAGATTTTCAGTCACAGAAATCCCTTCCTTATTCCGAAACGAAATCCCGTTTATAAACGTTTCTGCTGATATGAGGGTTTGTGTTTCTTTGTTTTTTTTATATTTAATTTAACAATAAGCAAGTCGAGAATGCCACTAGTATGCAGGACGTAACAAGGAGTGAAAGTGAGAGAAAAGACTGAGTATAGGGAGGATTGAAGAACGGACAAAAATTGAACGGGATTCAAGAAGATGGCGATTGACGTTTCATTTAAATTTTAAGATTGTAGTTGTCAGGGAAGCAAGTAAACGAAGGGAGATCCATAGACGAGAAATACGAGATGGAGAATCCAAGTAAAATCATGATATGGGACGTTTCTGATCACTGAAACGTTTGCATATGAAAATATTTCACCAACCGTGACAGGCCATAACAAACCATTAAGACTAGCTTAATGAAAATGCTTCAAAATCCATTTTAATGTATTGATATTTTTTCTCGTCGTCATTCAAAGACTTTGGTCCAGTTGGCTGATATCTTTCTTCACTCAACTGCTCCTTAATCTTCCAAGTGTTTTAGAAATCATTTTAGCCGAGATTTCTCAACACGATAAACAATTTCTGATTTTCGTTAGTGTTCTTTTGTATAAAGATGAACTACGCAACTTGGAATCGTTAACGGAAAGAGTGGAGTTTTCATCTTTAATCTGAAACAAATGACAAAATATGCAGAACGGTGCGACAGATTGATACCCTTCCCACTTCTGAAAGTGGAGTAATGATCGAGACGAGAAGCTGTCATTAATTCCTTGAAGAGCAACATGCTTTTATTAACAAGCGCCATATAATCAATTTAATTAAAAAAATGATTTTCTTAATATTATGTGGTAACTAATGTTTTTCTTTAGTGATTAATATAATGCAATTAATATTTCATAAAATCTCTATTGTAAAGTGTATATTAATATTTTGTCTGGTTTTACAAAAAGATTTTCCGCAAATGAACATATCCTTTTCATATTTTCTTACTTGCTTGCATATCTTTTCATAATATTGTTCACCGTTATATATCTATGAACATGTGGAGACATATGTATGTACGGATAAATATTAAGAGGTTATTAATGGTTACAAGCAGTATAAAGCTGATGCAACATGTCAATTATAATGAGAAGTTTCTGCCCTATCTTCAGTTTCTAAAGCCAAGATAAAAATACAGTTTTTGAATATTTATTTTCAAATGATTAATACATTTCAGTGAAAAGATTGACACAACGTAATATTTCTCGCTTCATCCAACATTTAAACTTATATTGAACACATTTTTGTGAATGTCGGAATACACCAAGTAGGTGAAGCCATTTTTACTGTTTTTTTTTACAGTTTACTCGACACATAGACATTGTGTTACACCCATATCTTCCTGGCGTCAGTTTAAACTGATATATTTTTTCCATATATTGTGACCATTTTGCTTAAACTTCGTTTTTTTCTTGATTTTAGACAACACATTGCGGGGAATTTTCCACTTAATGAACTTATAATTTATAATTAAAATTTAGATATAATTTATGTTTAGTTAGTTTAAACTGACATTCAAAGGATTAGGTCGAAATAAAGGTTCACTTTGTAAATTTATTTTACAGCATGCATCTATATTAAGTGTAAACTGTAACTCTTTATGCAGACAGGAAGAATTCACTATAAAGTTTTTGACAAGAGTATTCAGTTCTCCGTGCATCAAATTCCATTCAATGTATTATCTAGAAAATACATATTTTACTACAGAAAAATCTTTTATAGCTGCAGTTAACGTGAGGCCTCAACATTTTTTCATTTAAAAGATATAAAAAGAGAATATGTTTATATTTTCGGGGTGAAGATGCGTGTTTAAACTTTATTAAACACTTTTATCATCTGCAATGTGCAATTCTTGTGCAGATATGCAACCGTTCCGCCATAACCTTAGTGCCATTTCCTTGTAGACAAACGAGCTACAACCTCACCATGCAAATTATTTCTCTTGTAGTTTCTATAGAAAGTACTTTTGAATGGAGTAGACTTTCCATCAATCAAGGTTTTGAATTCAGTTTTTCTTCGAATGAAACATTTGAATAACGAGGGAATTTTAAAGAGAATAGGGACCACACTGAAATTACTGCTCACATTCACAACGAGACAGCTGAAATTTTGGGGTTCCGTCGTGAAGAAACAAGAATCAGGAAAATACGAGCAACCAAATTGCAGCCATATGCAAACGTGGAAAAAACTATGGAAGTAAATTCAGACGGAAAATCAGGTTAGATCTTAATACTTATAGATCAAAGACTATGTGGGATGATAAAGTGGTAAAATTTCTTAGTGCAACGAAACTTGTAGAGAGCCATGACTGTCCATGTACTGAAAGATAATGGCATATATAAGCAGGAAAATTCAGTTTCACCGTCAGATGCTTTCAAGTATTAAATATGTTTTTTGTTATTGATTACAAAAATGAAAATGAAAATAAATCCGCACATTTCGTGGTAAATTCTTCTTCAAGGTAACTTAGAGTTCGTATTCATTTTGCGAAATATAATGTTTCCAGTATAAACTTGAATAAAATGAATAAAAATCCTTGTGAATTGTACTTCATTTAATACGTGAATGTGCAATTTCTGAACATTGATAGAAATTTTAATCTTTATCTCAATCGTAACATTAATCGGAATATTGTTTTATTTACACCTGATGGTGATAGATTCATTAATATATTTTATACTTAATTTTATCAGTCAAGACAATTATATTGCATATATCAAAACGATCTGCATTTTTATTCTAATTTTTCTACAGAATTTTACGAAGAAACTACGCCGAATTCTTTGGTAATGCTTTATAGCCAAATTGAGAAGAGTAACGTTTATTTATTTTATTTATATATTACAATTTTAAAAATAGTAATTATTTTACAGAACATTCAGGAAAGAAGTCGGATCTCTCATGTGATATAACTTTAACTGATCGGTGGGTAAAAAAATTATGGTTAATTTCAATGCCTCAGAAACGAAACTAATGACCTTCCACCTTCACTGATCTGTCCCAGAACTTTCACCAATCGTGATGAACGGATATTCCACCAGGTATTCTCCGTGCCGACAAGGTCTGTTGGGTCTTAAACTCAACCCAGACCTCAAATGGAACATGTACATACGTTCCATCGCTAATGATATCGCTGAAAATGGTCTGTTCCCTCTACCCCTCCAGTAAGTAAGTCATTCTTACTGCTATTCTCTACATTTACAAGCGCTAGATCAGGCCGAAAATGGAGTATTTCCGTTTATATATGAGTGGAAGCTGCCAAGTTGTCACTTTCCAAAAGCGTCTCCGCATGCGACGAGTTTACGTTTTACATTTTGCAACCCCCTTTCTCTAGACGTCGCAAGCGTTTCTTCTGCTCTATCGCTATTGCCATGGAGAGTGTTCAGATGTATTACACTCCTTAGTTCCACCAGTTCTAAACTTCATGCCAAGCACATTGTTGCGAACAGCCATTCAATTTATATCCCCTGGTGAGTTGTAATTTTCACTCAAGCTGTTTTTTTCCCACGAACCGCTGCCTTGGGGAACTGATTCCCAAATGTTTCTATCCCTGATTACTACAATTTTAATCTATTCAAGTCTAGGGTTAAACGTTATCTTTCACACATATCAGCACAAACTGTGTCATTTATCTGAAACCCTCTACTCCAAGGGCCTTTTATGGAGTGAAAACCATTAAAAAAAAAAAAAAAAAAAAAAAACGGTGCAAACGAATCTGCCTTTAACACAGCAACATTTGAACACTACAATCTGATCCATGCTACAAAATATTAAAAATGGATGAATCGAAATGTAAGTATGTTTTCACAATCATGTATGTATTTGCTACTATATAATCTCAACAAAAAAATCAGAAAATGAATACTATGCCAACTTTTTCGTACTCATAACATTGGTGCAGCGTTAAACTCATTCCTCTTCATATAAATAGGAATATTAAAACATTTAAACAGATCTATCTGGATCTGATTTGTAATCGTTTCATTCCAGTTAAATGTTAAGATTTTAATGACCATGGTTTCCCGGCTTTGAGGATAACCACCATTCTATTTGTGCGCTTATAGCCTCTTCAAAGAAGAGATTTGAAGTAACAGAAATATCTTTAACAGAAAG